CATACGTAACGCGAGATACGGCTGACACTTCGCAATGTAGTTCTGTTATGGATCAGTATCACAGTCTGCCAGTACGTTACTATATAATCAATGTTAACTTACGTATAGCTGATATATGAAAGCTAACTTACAATGTTTGGTGGATTGGGTTTGACGTAGCTAACATTCTCGTAGCTCAACGCCGGTCACAGGGTCGGCTCCAGAACAAATCGAAATGGGGGGGCAATCATTACCACGGGGGGGTGCACACACAGCACTGCACGCTTTGAAGCAAGTCTCTTGTCTCACACACACACAGCACACACACACACACACACACAAAACACACACACACACACACACACACACACACACACACACACACACACACACACACACAACACACACACACAGCACACACACACACACACAACACACACACCTGAAAGTGTGTCATGCAGCACCGCTCTGTTGTTGTTACCTTATTTTCCGCCAGCGGGTCATATTGACCCCACCCCTTTTCACATAAACAGTGACGTGTTGCTATAGCCAACGCTTTTGTCCTACTAGCGCGGGTTCCCACTACTGAACTGTAAGTGAAAGGAAAAAGTGCGCTCCCGCATCACCGGAGACTGCTCGACGCTGCGCTCCGCAGCAAACCAGCGTGGGGCGATTTGAGAAGTACGTTATGCTGGCCGGCGGTGTTCTAAATAATGCTTCAGGGCCAGAGGGCCCATTTATAATGTCGAGCCCTGTTTCATAACGAACAGCTGAGACTCCACAGATCAGGTCAGAGGGCCTGGCGATCCACTCTAGCAAGAACAAACATCCAGTAGGCCTATAACCTTACTGTTTTTACTAACAGTAACCACTAAAATAATTTTCATAAAGTGCATATCTATTTCCAAACTCACAATATAATCCTTTCCAAGTAATAAACGCTAATGCACAATGCAATGGGTACACAGTATCCAAAGTCTTTTAGGCACTGGTTAGAGGCAATTCATGTAAAGCAGATGCCAGAATCCGCAATACTGGTTAAAAACGTTACAGAGATCAAATTGTTTCCTTGTCTGAAAGGAGAAATCCTAATTTTAAAACAACATTTTCAGTGTGTGTGACTTGAAAGATAGTTCTGATCAATAATAAAACCGAGATATGTGTATGTAGCGTGACCCTTTCAAATGTCAAAATGTCAATCCCCTTGAACAGTACACAAATGTTGGGAGAAAAATATAGTTAAACTTTTTGCCATTTGAAAATTAATAAATGAAGTTTGGATTTGTCCTGCATTTAATACTAACTTGAGTTGAGATAAATTAGATGGAACAACATCAAATGCACACTGAGAAATCAAGACTTTGCTCTAATAGAAGAGGATGAACAAGAATAATATCATCTGCATAAAAAATGAGAAGCAGCCTTGAATAAATTAATTACAGAGATTATTTTACATATATGGTGAAGTATTGGCGGTTCCCTCTACATATATTCAGTGTGTAAAAGGAGTCTCCTATTTCCTCCACGATAGCCGCAGTCACCACAAATTGCTGAGTGTACTAACTTATGAAACATAGTGCATTTCGAGTGACAAGTGTAAGTGGCGTTCTCGAGGGATTGATTTCATACATCACAGCCAATTTGAGGTCTTTTTTATCGTATAGGATCCAGCAGGGAGAGGAAAAGGCCACTGCCCCCTCTGACATGTTATCAAAAGCCTCTATCTTCCCTCGTAAAGGCAGCTGGTTTTCCACCACAAATCAATAAGAGAGGAGATATAATACCTGTTTTTTCGTAGTTGGTCTGCGTTAACAAGTGTAGAAATCTCCTTTCCAGTGCTGGCACGCCTCTCTCGCTCCTTCCACATTGCATAGCAAGAGAGATGCTCCTTTGAATTTGCATGTTTCTGAAATCCCTTGTCTCTCTCCACCGCATTTTTCCACTTACGGAAGCCAACAGACATAAATGCATCCATTCTACGGGTTTTGCTAGACTGCCGACAGCAGAAACAAAATGCAGCATCGGCCTTGACACTGTATTCAAGCCAGTCTCGGTTGTGATACCAAGCAGAGACAAACGAACGCCTCCTGCCAGTGAGGATGCTGTAAGGGTATTGTTTTAAGAAGATTTGTTTGGGCTGATCAGTTCCAATATCATCTATGGGTTGTTGAATTCCAGCGCTAACGTTAGCTGCAGCAGGTGGATGGGCTTGGCTAGCAGGTTGGCTGGTCGAAGAGCACGGCTCCAGCTCTTCAGAGGTGGTGCCGCCGGCGATGCTGGAGATGGGTGCATTATTCCCTTCGTTTTCAGGAGGTGGAGGAGTTGGAGGAGGCCGTGTAGCAGCCGCACCTTGCAGCCATTTACGTATATCCATTACTTTATTACTGTCCGACAGTCCGAGCATTAGCTTCGTCTCACTGACTTGCTAATTATGCGCGCATTTTTTGAATTAATATCAACAAATCAAAGGCCGCGGTCATTGGTCAAGAAACACACCAATCACCAGTGAGCACACCTCAGGTTGTGTTTTTTATTTATATTCTTTATTTCTGATTTATTTCACACAAAAAAGATTTAGTGGAAACGTTTTCACCTATAATATGATACAAAAATAAATTTAAAAAACGGCAAAGTGGCAGGGCTTGCCTGGCCTGGCAAGGGGGGCACAGTGACTCATTTGGGGGGGCATGGCCCGCGAATGCCCACCCATGACGCCGACCCTGCCGGTCACTCACCAAGATAGCTGCCCAGTTCTCCACTGGTTCTCCTCACACCACAGCTCAATTTCTCTCCGATGGCCGTTATTTCTTCTAATCCTTGGCTGCTCCTGGTCTCTTGGACGCCTAGCAGGCTCATAATTATAAGGTTGTGGTCCGTCATATGCATTCGAATATTCATGTTCAACTTCTTCTGTGTCTTCTGTGTCGAAACTAGCATTGGGATCCATGTTTATTAATACGTTACACCGGCCGCTCTCCCCCTTGTGTCCCCCGTGTTACGTCACACGCGGGAGGTCACGTGCCGAGGCTTTTTTATGCGGAAGTGAACATTTCTTACAAAAACGACGCCAGATGTCACTGTAGTGTATATTTTTGTATATTTTTTTGAAAATCTAGTGTCTTCATCATTTTCCTACACATTTATTCACAGGTGTCTTTAACCTGGAAGTTGCTCTTTAACATGTTGTCAGAACAATGGTTTAAAACTGTATTCTAAATCCCACACTCTTATCTTCTCAGGCATGCAGATGTGGTGGAGATGTCTTTATGCAGTGCATGCTCACAGGTCAACGATCCAGAGGGCTTCGCAGTGTACATGATCCATGACCTAAGCATGCTGCGGCTCATAGAGACGTTTTCAGAGAGCGCGCCTCAACTCGTCCTCATGATCACCATCATAATGCAGCAAGGGCAACTCGACCCCATCACAGGTGCCCAGTGTTAGGCTCAAGGTTTATGAAGTAAAAATGCAAATGTATTTAATATTTTGACACTCCATACTGAAAACCTCCTCTCTTCAAAGGGTCAGTTGAACCAAATTCAGTGGTGGAACATAACTAAGAACAATGTTTTTCACCTAAATTAACTCCTTTCTTATCAACTACATTTTTGAGAAACATGTAAACTTTGACACTATACAGCTATAATTCAGATTCATATTTTACATACAAAATATCTTTCCTGCTTACAAAATATGATTTGTATGATTGTAATGGAAATGGAGGATTTGAATTAAATCAACTGTTATTCATTACACATACAGTATAGAGTGGTGCAGTGATGATGTATATTTGTAGGACCACCTGGAAGTTAGCATTGCAAGATAGCTTCGCAAGGGTCCCATGATGAAGAGCACTGGAATTTTCCCCTTGAATTTTGGAATTTTTAAGAAAATAAGATCTGTTTGTGATATTTTCACGTATTGTTCAGCAGGATAATCTCCACATATCAACATCACTTTTATACTTTTCAAACTGTAAATGCAATCACCAGAAGTAAAAAGCTAACATTAGGTTATAAACAAACTACATCGTAGCATGGCTGCGCATCGCCAGCACTAAGCTAAAGACAGCTAATGTTGGCATGATGATGTTGAGTAGTCTAATTTAGTAACTTGTTTGCAACCACCATTTTTATGACACATAGAAGCTTTAGACATTCACAAGTGTGGTATTTTCTGACGTTTTTTATTCCGTAGAACAAAACGTCAAAATCTGTTAAGCTTGAGTTAACCACAGATCTTTCAGGCATCTACCAAAAACACTTTGACTGTTTTCTAATCATAATATATAAAGTACACTCGAACAGAGAGAAGGTCTTCACAGAGGCAGAGGAGCGTACATCTACCAAATAAAAGGGAACTAAAGACATCTGTTCTTTTGTATTAAAAGAAGAATTGACCGATCAATGTTACTGAAGTTGCCACATTTTATTAAGAGTTTAGGAGGTTTTAGGAGTTAGTGCCACCTTTAAATCGACGAAGGCCCATGTCAAGTTAACCACACTGGACATTTTGATCTAGAGACTCAATAACAACTAGAAAATGCATTTCCTGCTGAAAATGCGTGCGAATGCTGTAAACTGTGTATATTTGTTGCTGAATTTAACTGAAAATGCAGAAAAAGCTGAATATTTTATTAGCTGAATGGTCTCTGTAGCTGCTTTTAGCTACAAAAACCAAGTAAGTGTGTTGCTGAACTTAGCGGAGAAATGCAGAAAAGTGAAATGATTTGAATCAAAATTGTTTCTGCTCAAATGCATTGCAATGACTTTGTTGAAAACTTGAAATTGAAATGTTAAACTGGAAGAGTAGGAAAAATAGTGTAGAAGCTTAATATTTAAAAGATAACTAAATGTATAGCCTCAATGTCCTGAAACAGCTGAATATACGTTAAATGTTGAATGGTTTCTGTAGCTGAAAGTAGGCTGAAGGC